GGGTTTGATGGGGTCCTTGTTGGATAAAGTTAAGACTTAGAGAAGCTACTGGATTTAGTAGCATTAAGTTTTATGATGACCTTCATAAGAGCAGTTTAGGAGAATGGTATTGGGGACACCTGGGTGGCTCAGTGGGTTAGAGCCTCTGTCTTCAGCTGAGGTCATGATCCCAAGTCCTGGGATTGAGTCCTGCATTGGGCTCTCTGCTCAGCAGGGAGCCTGCTACCGTCCCCCCTCCGCCCCCTGCCTGCCTCTCTGCCTACTTATGATCTGTCTGCCAAATAAATAAATAAAATCTTAAAAATAAAAAAGAAGAATGGTAGGTATCAGATTTTAAAAGAAAATTGTAGAGCCAGAGGGTGTCCACTTCCAGTGATGAAGGAGGTAATTCAAGTTGCCTGGCTAAATTGTTTTTTAAGTTACAAGCATCAAATAGGTAACAGAATACTGAGAACATTTCAAGTCAACATTTCAAAGAAGACAGTGGAGAGATGAACACACTTAGAGCTGCTCTTGCCCTACTTGTGTTCACAAACTAAATACGGCTTTTGGCGGCTTTATGGGGCTAAGAGTCAAAAGTTAGCATCTGTGGTCCACCGAGTGTGGGGATTTAGGCTTTCAAAGGGCTCCATTCTAAGAGCAAACAAACTGGAAGAAAAGAGACATTCATATAGATTGTAGCCTAGCTTCACATCATGAAGATAGCTCAGAATCTAAAGCTTTGAACTTGAACTAAGATGGTTCCAGATGGATAGAACCCCTACCCCATTTTGACGGAAACAAAAGTCTTCTATAAAATATACCATCATCCTAGGGCTCAAATTACTTCTACAAATCATTTCTCAAACACAGTGCCCAGCACACAATCAATGGTAATGAGGCATACTGGTTGATAAAACACCAAAAATGAGAACTGACAGAAACAGCAAACAGAATTAGACTTAAAAGAAAAATAAGAGAGGAAGAATTTGAAACTGAAGGTATAATAGACAAGGTAAGCCCTATATAGGAGCACAGCGTATTCACAATAGTAACAAGGAAGGCAGAATATATGGGCGCAAGTTCAAATAGGTAAATAGATGTAATAGTGGGAAGTTATAGAAGTTCCTTTCAGATGGCTTTGGATGTCTCAGTGAAATTGAAAGGTTATCAGTCAAGAATAAAATGAAGGAATAGATATAATAAAGTTGAGGGAAGAAGAAAAGGTCTTAAATAATCAACTGGGAGAGTGACAGAGGGAAACATAGTGTCATTTTCTGGAAACCTTATAAACATTTGAATTTAAAGTGAGTTTTTCTTCAGCCACATTTAGCTGTATAAATTCAGGCACAGATCAGGCACAAAATTGGACTTCTATAAGGTTAGGACTTTATAAGACAAGTACATTGAAGTGAGGCAGGGCAGGGATATTAAGGAAGTCTTCAAAGAAATAATTACAGTAAAGGACTCAGGGTTTTTACTTGGGTAGGAAGGGAATTGAACATATGATCCTAATAGGATGAGGGATGATGAAAAAAGTGGTAGTATCAATGGATATCCCCTGATGGGAAGGAAGAGTTTATTAGATAGACTCAGGACACCAGAATGAATGAGCTTAAAAGAGAAGGAGTGAGATTATGACATAACTCTAGTTGTAGGTGATAGATAAAAAAAGGCCAGGATATGGCCTGGGAAGTGAATGGGGCAGTCAGGAGAGCAGGGGAAGGATATGAGAACTTTGGCAGAAGAGTTCAGGGAAGTGAGAGGCCAGGATATGGGAAGTGCTAGCCATGAGAATTTAAAATCATCAAGAATTGGCTAATACATAGATTTTCTGAAAGTCATAGGCATCCAATGCTAAAATCTTCAAAGAAAGTGGATGACTTGGGGCACCTGGGTGGCTCAGTAGGTTAAGCCTCTGCCTTTGGCTCAGGTCATGGTCTCAGGGTCCTGGGATTGAGTCCCACATCAGGATCGAGCCCCACATCAGGCTCTCTGCTCAGCAGGGAGTCTGCTTCCCCCTCTCCCTCTGCCTGCCTCTCTGCCTACTTGTGATCTCTCTCTCTGTGTCAAATAAATAAATAAAAATCTTAAAAAAAAAAAAGAAAGAGAGAAAGTGGATGACTGCAATGGGAAGGGGTAATGAGGACATAATGTAATGACACTAATTTTACCAAAGAGTTGTTTTAGGGAAAAAATAGAGAATGGAGGTGGCAATGAAGAGCAAGAAAGACACCTTCTGTACTACAAGTACGATGCTAATAAAGGCTGTGGCAAAGCTTGAAAGGACTGCAAGGGAAGCACTGTCCTCATGGGAGACCTAGTTTTAGGTTAGAACATTTAGGCCTGCAAAAGATATATTATAGTATAGTGCGTTATTAATAGCTCAGTACATCCTGAAAACAATTACAAAGTCCCTACCAGGTCACCATTGTACAACATAATGCTAGAATTCAAAGAATTCTACCCTATAAAACAACGGGACTGTGCTTGATGGAAAATTTTTTATAAGGAATTTATTAGCTTATTTTATTAATAAAATAAATTTATTATTTATTATAATAGAAGGGGAAACTTTCTTGGAAGAGAAGAGGTAGTAGTGAAGATAATGTTTCTACACCCACTAGATAATATTGGAAGCCTACATTAGATCCTGGTAAAAAAATCTGGTACTCATTTCTATAAACTTTACAAATTGTCCAGAATTCTAAGGGAAGGGGACAAAAAGGGACCAGAGGATCGGATTTCTTTTGCCCCTTTCTTCCATATCACAAGAGATCAGTGGTTCTTTAAGTGTCCCTGGACCAGAATGAGATTCTGTTGAAATACAGATTCTCAAGCCCCAACTTAATGAATCAGCAACTCTAGGGATGGGGCCCAGCTATCTGTGTTTTAACAGATGGTTCTAATGCCACCAAAATTTGAAAACACTGCAGGAGAGGACAGTTTCTACTTTTGGAGCCACCAACTCAACAAGTATTCGTTTTGAAGGATTAGTAGAATAGTAGAGGAAAGAAGAGTTGAGGATGTTTTGGAAGTCTAAAATAATGGGCCAGAGAGGAAGCCCAGCATGAGGTAGAAGAATCTTTCTAATTAGTAAGGATTTCTAAGGGTAAGGATGGAATGGACAAGGATAGAAATGACATTTGCCAAATACTGTTTGACTGTCTTGCCTTTTTAATGCAAAAAAGCAGTGCTATCTCATTAAAAAATTCTTAGTCTTTGCTTTTAGAATAAGGCACTACTTCAATATTCTGGGCTTGTTATTCCAGAATTAAGATACTAGATCAACACTTTTTCAGCCTGAGTATTTCCTGTAGGCTGACTAAGACTTCATTTGATTCTGCTGGGCATTCGGTGAAGACAAAGTTTGGTAGGCTTACACTGGCTGTAGGGATTTCAGTTTTTCTTGCTTAGAAATCTGATGAAGATAGCCATTTGTATGTCTTCATTGGAGAAGTGTCTGTTCATATCTTCTGCCCATTTTTTGATATGATTATCTGTTTTGTGTGTGTTGAGTTTGAGGAGTTCTTTATAGATCCTGGATATCAATCTTTTGTCTATACTGTCATTTGCAAATATCTTCTCCCATTCTGTGGGTTGCCTCTTTGTTTTCTTGACTGTTTCCTTTGCTGTGCAGAAGCTGTTGATTTTGATGAAAAAATGTTCATCATCACTAGCCATCAGGGAGATTCAAATTAAAACCACCTTGAGATACCATCTTACACCAGTTAGAATGGCCAAAATTAGCAAGACAGGAAACAACATGTGTTGGGGGGGATGTGGAGAAAGGGGAACCCTCTTACACTGTTGGTGGGAATGCAAGTTGGTGCAGCCTCTTTGGATAACAGTGTGGAGATTCCTCAAGAAATTAAAAATAGAACTTTCCTATGACCCTGCAATTGCATTCCTGGGTATTTACCCCAAAGATACAGATGGAGTGAAAAGAAGGGCCATCTGTACCCCAATGTTTATAGCAGCAATGGCCACAGTTGCCAAACTGTGGAAAGAACCAAGATGCCCTTCAACGGACGAATGGATAAGGAAGATGTGGTCCATATACACTATGGAGTATTATGCCTCCATCAGAAAGGATGAATACCCAACTTTTGTAGCAACATGGGCAGGACTGGAAGAGATTATGCTGAGTGAAATAAGTCAAGCAGAGACAGTCAATTATCATATGGTTTCACTTATTTGTGGAGCATAACAAATAGCATGGAGGACATGGGGAGTTAGGAGAAGGGAGCTGGGGGAAATTGGAAGGGGAGGTGAACAATGAGAGACTATGGACTCTGAAAAACAATCTGAAGGGTTTGAAGAGGTGGGGGGGTGGGAAGTTGGGGGCACCAGGTGGTGGGTATTAGAGAGGGCATGGATTGCATGGAGCACTGGGTGTGGTACAAAAACAATGAATACTGTTATGCTGAAAATAAATTTAAAAAATGATTAAAAAAAATTTAAAAAATTTAAAAAAAGAAATCTGATGAAGAAAGCCCAAAAGTGATAACCATTTAACTTTACATTTTCTTTCTATGGAAACAAAGGATGTTTTATTATTTTTATTCCAATTATTGTGAAGATATTATTTTACCTCAGGGAGATTGATGTTGTTTCTGTATATTTATTTTTAAACTCTAAAATGACAGAACAGAAGTGTACAAGTATACCACATCCACTGCAACTTTTCTATTAACTATGTAACTTTAGACAGTTCCCTTTAAGATGATGAGCTCATCTGTGGAAAGAAGCAATAAATTCAACCATTATATCATTTTTTTGTTGAAATCCTTAAATTGATAGGTATATGAAAAATACACTATTTTTGGTATCATTTTACATAACGTTTGCTGCTTTCATTCGTGGACTGAATGTAAATATCTTCATAATCTTCTAAGTTTTTTTACAGTTAAAACTGTAAAAATATATGTTTAAAGTACGATAATTTGTAATGATGGTTCAAACATGTTTTAGTATGTAATTTAAATATTTTTATGTTTTATAATAAATTAATAGGAAAATACTGGATTGATCCAAATCTCGGATGCCCTTCAGATGCCATTGAGGTTTTCTGCAATTTCAGTGCTGGTGGTCAGACATGTTTATCTCCTGTTTCTGTAGCAAAGGTATGTATTGAATTATAGAATATATGCCTATACTTGCCCAGTATCAGTGAGCATGATTTTTTAAAATGTCACTTTAAATAATTATGATTTTTATGAAATCATGATAATAAATAAAATAATAAAAGAAAATAAAATCATGGAAGTAAGATATCCTTCTCTACCATATATAAGAAAGAAATTTTTTTGTTTGTTTTTAAAAAAAAATTCTAAGAGGGGCACCTGGGTGGCTCAGTGGGTTAAAGCTCAGGTCATGATCTCAGGGTCCTGGGATTGAGCCCCACATCGGGCTCTCTGCTCAGCAGGGAGCCTGCTTTCTCCTCTCTGCCTCCCTCTCTGCCTACTTATGATCTCTCTCTCTCTCTTTCTCTCTCTCTCTGTTAAATAAATAAATAAATAAATAAATCTTTTTTAAAAATAAAAAATAATTCTAAGAGAATCCTGATATTTTGGTTGTGTATTTTATGATTGGCATGTCATGGCTTATTCTATTGATTATGCTTTTTTAATTTCCTTTTAAAAATGTTGTGGGAGGGCACGCCTGGGTGGCTCAGTCAGTTGAGCAGCTGACTCTTGTTTTGGGCCCAGGTTGTGATATCAAGGAGTCTGCGTGAGATTCTCTCTCCCTTTGCCCCTCCCTGCCCCCCCAGCCCCTCCTAATTCATGCTCTCTCTAAAACAAAAAATGTGCAACATATGTTCTTATGCATATACATACCTTAGAAAATCCCCCAAACAGCTGCAATGTTTATAATTAGTACCCAGTTACCTAAAGGTTTTCTGAAAATCACATCATTAGAAGAGGAATTTTGCCACAAAGCTTGCTATTTTTGATGATTTGGCACAAAGAACCTCCCTTCAATGGATGTTTAAACATCCATTGAATATTTTTTAAAACTCCTTTCAAGTATAATAACATGAATGAAAGTTAGTTTGGTATGATACTGGAATTATAACAAGCATTTATGAAACCTATATCTTAGCTCTACCTATAAAATCCTGAAGAAATCAAAAGTGCATTTCTTTCTTTTTCTGGCTAAACCAGTTTGGTATTATTACCAAGGACTTACTTCTCATCAAGAAAGAACTGATAGACCTGCCCCTTATATATTTGGTCCATCATAAAGAGGCAGCAGCTAAAATGTGCAGTCTATTAATCTCTCTAGCTGTTTATTGTTTCACTGGCCTTTTATAGAATATCCCTCTTCATTAAGGGTGTTTCACGAGTTCATCACAGTAGCATTCACCATTATTATTCTCAAACCACAGGCAGGAAAGAGTCTTCCATCCCTAGGGAATGAGTGTTTTTCTCATGAAGATCAGCATGATAGTCTTACTTCCAAAATATCTGTATGAACATCCTCATTCCCCTGGATTCGGCCCAGGATTTTTATTCGGATTATCATAGAAGACAGATGAGGACCAGGAGGCGTGTACAAAGGAGACAGTAACAGTGAAGTTGTTGCACTCCAGTTCCTTCCTTCACTGAATCAACTCTCCCATCTCTCTTATCCATAAACTCAACGTAAGAAAGACCGGGCAGGTAGTGGAAAGAATGGTAGACTTGGAATCAGGGACCTGGGTTCTAGCCTCTACCTCTCTACTAATCTGGCAAATGATGCTCTGAGCCACCAAATATCCTACTCTGTGCCAGGCACTGTGTTGGGTAAGTGACATTTGGCCCCTTAAACCCTTACAACAATCCTGCCATGTCAGTGTCATACTCCACTTCACCAACAAAGACACTAAGGCTCAGAAAGATTAGTTTACAAGTTTGTGATTCTCAGCTGTAAAATAAAGGAACCTGAACTACTTAAATTCTAATGTTCTTTATGATGATCCTTCCATGTTTTCATCTTCATTGACCTTCTTTTGCCTTTCTTCTCTTTTCCTTTTACTTTTTTGGTGCCTGTCTTTTTTTTATTTTTTTCCCTCTGATACCTCATAACTGATATTTTTCTAATTTTATGTTTGGAAATCAATATAAATTCCTTGTTGAAGTCACTTTCATTCACTTATAACTATACACCTGCTTGAAGAATAAATAAAATAATAAAAATGTCAAAAGCTATAGAAAAATCTACTTCCTTTTCCAAGCCTAGGAAATCTTTAGTCAGACCTCCTTGCTCCAATTTTGCCCTGTATTGTTGACTTTATTATCAGTACTTGTTCATTCCTTCATTCATTTCAATAAACATTTATTGATGACTCCATTCTATGGCTGGAACTACATTAGGGGCTGGTAACACAAAGAATAAGATTCTATCCTTGTCTTTAAAGGCTCTCATAGTTAAAATTTCTCAACGAGGTATTATTACAACTTGTAACCTGTCTTTGGAAACTCAAAAAAAGATCTTCAAAGTAAATTATAGGCAATTTCAGATTTTTGTGGAAGAAATTATTAAAGAATTAATCAACAACAAATAACTAATGCATTTTAGATAACATGAAAATTACCTTGCTTTTTTTGGTCATGTCTGGTAGCCTCGTGGTATGCCAGCCAGCTCATAGAGACTCAGGAGACCCTATTGTTAACACCTCTTTCCAACTCCGTGTTCAGTGATACCACCATGATTGCCTGAAGTCAGCCATGGTAGGAGTGGTTACACCATAGAAACTGAAAAATGCTGTAAATCGGCAATTACCGCCCCCACCCCACTCCACCCAGCAAGAGCCAGTGGTTAAGCATTTATCAGCATACTGTTGACTGGCACTTAAATACCAAGGAAAAGGGCTTTCTCGGGTCTTCATTTCAAGGACTTTCCTCAGGTTCCCCCAAATTATAAGTTGTTCAATTGCCACATCTTATAACTTGTATATTATTTCTATGACATTAGTTGGAGTTTGGAGTTGGAAAAGTCCAGATGAACTTCCTTCACTTACTGAGCTCAGAAGCCACCCATATCATCACCATTCACTGTCTAAACACACCAGTGTGGACAAGTGCTCAGCCAAATGGCTTGGGATTGTCTATTGGCTTCAAGGGATGGAATGGCCAGATTTTTGAAGAAAACACTCTACTTGAACCTAAGGTGCTTTCTGATGACTGCAAGGTAAGGGATGGCAACTTTTAGAATTGTTCAATATAGCTAACATAAAACTGAAAAAGCCATAAAATTAAAATAATGGGGATAAGACTTTAATTGCAAACTGAAGATCCAGAGGGTAATAAGTTTTAAGGTGCCCTATTTGTAATAACATTACATTTTTCAGAATCAATCGTTTGCTTGTATCATATCTTGTCTACTTCTGTCACACCCACTGGTCATCCACAGATTTTTATATGCAAAACAGATGTTAATACATAAATCTAATTCTTATTGCTCGTATGAAATATCTATATTACCCCCGCATGGATAGAAAGAGCATATAAATAAATAGATTTATTTCATATATTTCCCTACTGTAATTCTACATCTCATTATATATGGAAGACAGTTATAGAGGCAAGTCTTGTTGTATTTCATTTTGTCAGTCCCGATACCTGAAACCAAATACGGGCAGAATTGCAGATTGACTAGCCCTACCAATCCATTTTTTAATCATAGCCCATTTTTCTTTTACAATTAAACAACTAATATTATAAAAAAAATCTATAATTTTAAAATGTTTTGGTATAAAGCAGGTGTCAGCAAACTACATTTCACAGACCAAATCCAGCCCACCACTTTTTTTTTTAAAGATTTTATTTATTTATTTGACAGAGATGACAAGGAGGCATAGAGGCAGGCAGAGAGAGGGGGGGAAGCAGGCTCCCTGCTGAGCAGATAGCTGGATGTGGGGCTCGATCCCAGGACCCTGGGATCATGACCTGAGCCTAAGGCAGAGGCTTTTAACCAACGGAGCCACCCAGGTGCCCCGCCCACCACTTGTTTTTGTTAATAAAAGTTATTAGAACATAGCCACACTCATTTGTTTACTTAGTATCTATGGCTGTTGTCACACAGGGATGACAGAGTTAAATAAATGTGAGACTGTGGCTCACAAAACCTAAGACATTTATTATCTAGCACTTTACAGAAGAGTTTCCCAACCCTGTTATAAAGAGCATCCACATCACATGCATTTCATTAATGACTTCAAGTAGCTTGGTTTCCTGCTCTTGTGCACCATGAAGCCCATGATTTAACATCTCTTACCATTTCCAGGGAACTCTATTTTTTCACAACATTTTAATTTCAGACAAATAGTGCTTGAGTATTCGAAAAATGAGAGGCAAACAGAGATATACGGCTCATTCTCTAAAAGCAAAGAGATCAATATTATCAACAAACTCATTTGAATTTTATAATTTTTTCCGGAAACTTTCAGTGACTCACTACTATCTTTGAGATACAATCTAAACTTATCCGCTCTTTGTTTAGCGCTTAAAATAGTCCAGCCCCAACCTTTCTAGCTTGGGCTTTCAGTGGCTGTTAGCCCTAAAGTATGGTGAAACTGATCTATTAATAATAATAACAATAATAATATCAACAATAATCCCTACTATTAGTCACTGGGACCTTATTATATAGCAGTTACCCTGTATTACATACATTATTTTATTTAATTATAACAACTTTATAAAGAAGTTTCATTTTATAGGTAAGAAAATGAAGAAACAGAAAGGTTAAATAACTTGCTCAAGGTCATGTAGCTAATTAGTGGAGAGCAAGAAATAAACCCTAGGTGGGTATAACTCCAAAGTCCATGCCACACTATACTGCTTAACTGAAATCTCATTTAATCCTCACAACTGTGTGAGGTAAGTGTTTATTTTTCAAATTTTATATATAAAGAGAATGGTGGTACCTGGATTTCTATCAAAATCTGTTCTTCATTCCCATGCTAGGCTTACTTTTGCAATCATCTACTTTTCCAACAGTTTTTTGTATGTTTGTTTTTACTCGTGTCATTATCTTTCTCTGAAATGCCTTCTCTACCTCTCTAACCAAGTGGAAGTACTAGGCATACTTGAAGGCCCATTTTAAATTCTGAAATCTGAATTCATGAGGCTTTCCCTGAGTACTTCAGTTGGAAATGAGGAATTTAGCGTTCACTGTCTACATTATTTATACTGTACTCACTATATGTTGTCTTGTGTTATGTCTATGTTCATGTTTCCCCTCTCCAACTAGATTTATAAGCTGCTAGTATTCAAAAGCCAGAGCTGATTTATTCATCTTCATATTTCCCAAGGACTGTTAGAAAATAGAGGATTACATCTTACTCAGCTGTGCCACTTGTACTTACTATTCAATAAATACTGCTTAAAAGACTTAACGAGTTAATCTAATGGTGTCTTACAGACACACACACACACACACACACACACCAAGCTGATGACTAGTAAATGAAATTTATAACTTAAATAATCACTGAGGTTTCTTCACATTTTAAAATTTATATCATGATAATTCTATAAACAAGTAAGTGAATCAACTCCTTAATAAAAAGCTTCACAAAACTAGCCAATTGTGTTTCTCTATTTTATTTTGTTGAATCTTAATCATAAGAGATTTTATGATATGTTTTTGTTCCATAGTAGAATTTGTCAGAAACAAAAGAACATAGAGTGATAAGAAAAACAGAAAGGCCTAGAAAGAAGAGAGGAAAGAAACTATATAAACAGTAACCACAGACTAGAAAAAAGGAAAAGTGATGCAACAGAATTATAGTTTATTTCCTACTGAAGCAATTTTGGTTATTTCTTGCCTAAATTACAGAGAGGTTGAGACAGCTCATTGCTTTTCCTCCAAGAATGCCCATCCTAAAGAATCAGCCCCAAATAAAGGAACAGAGAACAGATGGGTGTTACTCATATTAGGAATAGTACAGCCTTTTAATTCATACCTGGACCAGTGATCTACAGACAACAGAAGCAGAAGCCTAGCCTTAGTCCCTGGGACTGAAAAATCAGAACACACATTGCCATTTGGAGAAAAGAATGAACTCATGTTTTTAATTAGTCATAGTGAGTATTAGCATTAAACACTTACTCTATGCCAGCATTTACTTTGTTCTAGGGACTTCCTATTCATTATCTCTAATCCTTAAACTAAATCTTCATTGTCTGAGAGTGAAGGGCACTGTCTGCTGAGAACGACTTCTGATGACACGATTACATATCAAAGCATTTTGTTCTTGTTTTACAGATTCAAGATGGCAGCTGGCATAAGGCAAAATTCCTTTTTCACACCCAGGACCCTAATCAGCTTCCAGTCATTGAAGTACAAAAACTTCCTCATCTCAAAACCGAAAGGAAGTACTACATTGAAAGCAGTTCTGTATGCTTTCTCTAAAGTTTCTGAATTAGTTCAGAATTCGTGCTGTTGGCCAGGTAATTGTTGCAGAGGGAAAAATATAGACAGAGAGATATTATCATTGTGAAATGCATGGAATAAAGCATTGGCTAAATCTTAAAGAATCTCAGGAAGAAAAGATTTCCTCCGAAGAAGGAGAAAAGGCATTTTTAAAGGACTATAATTGATAAAGTATTTAATTTTTTAAAAAATTATATTGATCTGAGCTTTCTTAGAGAATTCCCTAGAACTGAAAATTTATAAACATGGAATTCTTCAGGGTAGCCTCTATTTTTTTTGACTGAGAGCAAAGTACCCATTAGACAGCTGGAGATGCAGAGCACTATGGAGCAATACTGGCTAATGCTTCCACATGTGTGATGCTTCTGTCTAAAAATCACAAGCCACAGTCCAACATGTCTTATTTTCCCAAACACTAAGCTGTATTCAGGTCCATAATGGGCATATACATCTTAGCCGGTGGTACACTACCTCTTACGTGTTGCCTTTTTATGTTGCTTGGTGCTCTTCCTAAAACAAGGTGCTTGTGGCTTTCATAGACTATTTTATTTCTTTTTTCGTCTTTGTCATTCTTTAAGAGTGTATGTACTGGTTACATCAAGATATGTTTTGGTTGTTAGTACTTTATTTTAATTTGTTTGGTTACATGCTTAATAACAAGTAAAACATTATTTATGTGAAGTCCTTGTTCTATTTTAAAATTCTCTTTGTGATATGAAATCAAAGCCAGCACACAGTAACCTGTGCTTATGCACAAGAGAACTGGGAGGTTTCTTTTGTTTTTATTTTTTAAAGTGTTGTAAAAAATATTGCAGGCCAGCTACTTCCCGTAGTAGGTTTGGGATAGAGTTTGGGGTTGTGATATACTATTTTTTAAAAAATCCATGATCATCTGGAATGATACTATGTATATATATATTTTGTAAAGTTTTAATTCAGCAAATCTTTTGAAATTGCTGCTGTTTTAAATTATAAAAACCATTATTTCTGCTTCATAAGAATTACATGTTTTGTAGTATTCATTGATTTTTATCTCACTCTTCTTAAATTTACTGTGTTTGGACCTAAAAGACTTCAATTTACCAGTCTTAAAAGCAACATTCAGGAAGAAAAAAGTCTTTAGCCATTTAAAATAGGCTCAGCCCACTCAGACTTCCCTTGTCAGAGAAATGTTATTCAGTATTAAAAGAAAAATATTATACCTTTTGGTATATAGAAAAGCTTGTACATCCATTATAAACATATCTTTAGCCACAGCAAACCACACTTACCTATCCATAATAAAAATATGCTTGAAAACTTTTTTGGTGGTATTCATTTTTCTTCTTTTGTTATCATATCCTTGTATTACCAAGGGTAGCTCTCTGGCATAGTCCTTCTGTCCTCTGTACATATACATTATTACAAAGTATCTGTTATACACCTACAAGAGGATTATAGGGTCAATTTCCTACTTGTACAAAATGAGGTCAGAATAAACTCTCATATATGGTCAACTGACTTTCAAAAAAGGTGCCAATACCATTTAATGGAAATGGACAGTTTTTTCAACAAATGGTGCTGGGAAAAATGGATATCCACAAGCAAAATAATGAAGTTGGACCTTTATCTGGTATCACATATAAAACTTAACTCAAAATGGATCAAAGTGCTAAATATAAGAGCTAAACTGATAAAACTCTTAGAAGAAAACATAGAGGAAAGTCTCCATGACATTGGATTTAGCAATAATTTCTTGAAGATGACACTAAAAGCATGTTCAAAAAAAGAAAAAGATAAATTGGACTACATCAAAATTAAGAACTTCTGTACATCAAAGGACACTATCAAGAAAGTGAAAAGACATCCCACAGAATGGGAAGAAAAATTTGCAAATCATATATCTGATAAAGAATTAATACCCCAGGATGTATTTTTTTAAACTCCTACACCTCCGTAGCTCTTTCTGCCCACAGATCCTGTCCCCATGCTTTAAGAAACCACCATTTTGCACCATAATTTAATTAATTAATCAATTAATTAAATTTCTACAACTCAAAATAAAAAGCAATCCAACTGAAAAATGGGCAAAGGACTTAACAGATATTTCTCCAAAGAAGATATACAAATAGCCAACAAAAGAAAAGATGCTCAACATCTCTAGTTATTTGGAAAATGCAAATCAACGCCATAGGGAGATACCACTTGACATTCACTGTGATGACATTATCCAAACGAAAAACAAAACAAAACAAAATGAAAGTAACAAGCATTGGTAAGGATGTGGATAAAGTGAAACCTTTGTATGTTGCTGGTGGGAATGTAAAATGGTGTAGTCGTGGTGGAAAATAGTTTGTCAGTTTCTCAAAAGTTAAACATAGAATTATCATATGACCCAGTAATTCTAACTTGTGTATATGCCCAAAAGAATTTAAAGAAGGGACTCAAAGAGATGTTTGTATGCAAGTGTTCATGGAGATATTATTCAGAATAACCCAAAACTGGAAACAACCCAAATGTGCATCCACAGATGAATTGATTAACAAAATGTGGTATGTACATACAATGGAAAATTATTGGGTCATAAAAAGGAATGAAATTCTGATATGTGCTACAACACTGATCACCTTGAAAACATTACGCTATGTGAAATAAGGCAGATGAAAAAGGGCAAGTTATCTGAAGTACCTACCACTTATCTGAAGTACCAAGAATAGACAAATTCAAAGACAGGAAATAGAACAGAGGTTATCAGAGGCTGGGAGAGATGGGAATGGGGAACAATTTTGTAATGAGTGCAGAGTTTCTGTTTGGGATGATGACAGAGTTCTAGAGATGGATGGTAATAATGGTTGCACGACACGTGAATGCACTCAATACAACTGAACTAACACTTAAAATGATTTAAATGACCAATGTTATATTGTACATTTTACCACAATTTTTTTAATGGGGTGATGACAAATATGTCTGATTTCCTGCTTGAGAACCATAGAATTGCTTTTTAAAAGGAGCAGAATGTGCCATACCTTTTGTTTCTCCCCCCCAAAAAAAATGTATTTCAGAGACATAAATGGTTTTTCTAGGTATCATTTAAGAACTAAATATATATATATATACATATATATATATGTATGTATATACATATATATAAAATAGAAATATTTCACTTTATGTTTTTTGTTTTTGAAATATTAAATTTAAAGCACAGTTTTAATCAACATAATCATAGACAATATAGCATATATAGTGATTAAGAATACTCTGGAGACGAGCTGTGTGACTTTGGGTATATTATTCTTCACTACCTCAGTTTCTTCACTGCAAAATGAGGATAATAAAAGTAAAAATCTTTATGAGTTAGGGTTCTTAGAGAAACAGAACCAGTAGGAGATATAGATAGTTAGAAGTAGAAATACAGATTTTATATATAATACACATATAATATTGTTATATATATGCATGATATATAAATACATTTTTTATTTTATGTTTTTATATGGAAGCGTTATGATGAATTGGCTTGCACAATTATGGAAGCCGAGAATAGCCACAATTTGCTACCTGTAAACTAGAGACCCAGAAAGGCCAGTGATGTAAGTAAGTCCAAAGACCTGAGAACCAGGGGAGCCAATGGATTAAAATCCAGTCTCTGGGCCGGTGAAGATGGGAGGTCTCAACTCAAGCAGGCAGAGCAAAAAAGGCACATTCTTCCTTACTTTGCCTTTTGTTTGATTCAGGCCCTCAGTGGATTGGGTGATGCCCATGTACATTGTGGGAGAGGGACGATTTACTTTACTGAGTCCACTGGTTCAAAGACTAATCTCCTCCAGAAATGCCATTACAGAAACACCCAGAAATAATTTTTAATGTGGACACCTATGGCTGGTTAAATTGACACATAAAATTAACTATCACATTATCTCACTTGGTGGTTGAATGGATTCAATAAATTACCCTGGAGAAGTATAAAACTGCCTGGCACAAAGCCATCAATCACTCTGTAAGCATTCCCTGCTGCTGTTGTTGAAGTAACAACAACATCATTGAAGATTTCATAGATAAGCTCCATGCTAGTTATCACCAAGGAGGTGGTAGCAAATCCCTTAATAAAATTACTCATCTGTTTTATAGCAATGCCAGCCCCATAATTTGTTTTGTAACAATAGATTTTATATTTTTAGAACATAGATTAAATATAAAGGCTTTCTAGAAATAAGGTACAACTGTAACAGTATATAATTAGATAATGTGCCTCCCTCTTCTCCCCATTTTTTATATTAATGTGGGAATTATAGTTGTCATTAAAAGTAAATAACACCAGGTTTTTTTGTAATATAAAACCATTGCAGAAGGAATATTGGATTTAGATACGTAAAACTTGGGATATCTGTGTGACTCGGTTGGTTAAACGTCTGCCTTTGGCTAGATCATGATCTTTGGGTCCTGGGAAGGAGTCTCAAATCTGGCTCCTTGCTCAGCAGGGAGCCTACTTCTCCCTCTGCCTCTGCTGCTCCCCCTGCTTGTGCTCTCTTTCTCTCAAATGAATGAATGAATGGATGGATGGATGGATGGATGAATTATATTTTTTTAAAAATATATGCGTAAAACTTGAACTGAGTTCCCCTCTCACTCATCAGTTTGGGGTACTTGGTTAAGTCACTAATTCTCTGTTTCCTTATCTATACTGGGCAAAATTTTTTGTTTTTTTGGTCTGCTTCTTATATGAGGTAGGTGTGTTAAAAAATCTCGAACTGTGATTATGGACATTCCCGTTTTTTTTACATCTCACATTTTTGCTTTATACTTGTAATCAGTTGCATTCAAATTTACCACAGCTTTTTTCAGAGGTGTCCCACTACATGTTTAATAACTAGCCCTCCAGGGTAAAAAGAGAAACAATCCCTACTTGTAGCATTAGCCAGTTTTCATGGCATAAACACTTGGAGCATACCAATTTTGTATTGTAACTTGTTAGTGTCAAGATAGTACATCTTTGTTCGTCTTTTTATTTTTAACCTTTCTACATCCTTCTGTTTAGGCATATTTATTATACTCGGCATATGCTTGTAGATGTGTTTATTTTTAACCTACTTTGACAATTTTAGACTCAGAATATGTAGTCTGTTTAGTTAATGTAGTTACTGTTATATTTGCATTTAAACCTGATATTTTACTATCATTTTGTATTTGTCTCATCTCTTTTTCTTTTTTCTTCCTTTGGATTGGTAAAATACTTTTTATTCCATTTTCCCTCTTTTAGCTTGTTAAACATTATTTTTATTTTCTTTTAGTGGCTACTTTAAAGTCAATAATATGTATCCTTGACTTTGTAGAGGTCACATAAATTAGTACTTTTCTACCTTCCAGACAACTCAAGGATATTACAAAACTTCAACCCCACTCATCTCTCTCTGACATTTTGGAATGTTATTGTCAAGTATTTTAATTCAGCACATATTTAGACTCCTACGGGATATTACTATTTGCTATTATTTTAAACTGGCAATATTTATTTGGTTTTATCCACCTATTTATACTTTCCTATACTTTTCTTTCCTTCCTTCCATCCTTCATGTTTTAGGTGAACTTGAAAGAAGCAAGAAGAGATGACATATGCTTTATACAGAGGCAGAGTTACCACTGAAGATAATAAATTTAAGCTTTAGAGCCCTGAAGTGGCCTTCAAAATGTCTTCACAGGGGCATTTATGTTTGTAGAGTTTGCAAAAGTACAGTAATTTTTAGTTATTTTCCATAAAGAGGACCCTAACTTGTATGAGTGTCGGGCTTCATGAAACCTAAGTCTATCCCTGCCCTTTACCTGGAATGAAATATAAATGTCATTCTTTCTGTAGGAAACAACAGTTTTTCTTTGTTTGATGACTATAGTAAACAAAAAGAGGGACTGTTGCTAGTGGTACAGGAATGACCTGAGCGGTAGAAACATGGTGTTCAGCAGTAAGCACTGTGACAGACCTCATTTTCTGGCCAAAATGTTAAGTTTGGTTCTCCCATACAAGACTAGCAGCTTTTATAGTTTCAGAAATAAGTGTAAGCTAAGCCTTCAATGTAATGTGCTCTGCCCTATTCAAACACAACTTTTCTACCATGACCTACATAGTAATTGGCTCTGAAGGCATGATTAAGTCGTTATCACCTCAGCCCGGATACACAATTATGCAATCTGTGTGCTTTGGATTCAGAGTCCTGGTATAACTCAAAGCTAATTTAGAAAAACGGCACCTTTGTAGAGAAGGGCAACCAGTGGGGTATCGAGCTATCATCTTGGCTGTGCCTAGCTAGCAGTGGAATTTCAGGACTGT